GTATTGCCCACGACATTCGATAGTCTCAACATCAATGAATTATAAACAACTTCCAACAATTGTCTGCTTTTAACTCTCTTATTATAAAAAACTAAACAATCATAAAATACTAACTCACAAAATTAATTAATTAATTAATACTATCTACACTAAACAGTCTTTTATATCATGACAGTGACTATTGTTAGAGAAACTGGTACTGATGTTATTGTTAGATTGCTTGGAAAATCTGAAACTAAAGAGGTAATAAGGCAACTGTGAACTGTGTGTTCATTAATAAAGAAACCAGTATTGGTGTATTTATTGGATTGCTTAGTCAGGAGCTAAACAGCTAACATATTTTCATTGCTAGAAAACCTTATATTGGTGTTATTTATAATTAGGTAAGGTAATGAGTCAATTACTGTATGCATGTTTCTCATTTTTCAGAATTATTATTGATGCTATTGTTTTTCATCATTTTAAGATTCACATAACAATTACCAAGAGATGATGATGTAAATATTTTGTAACAATTTCAAAATAGGGAGTAAGCTCATTTTTGTTAGAAAGATTCAGTTTGTATCATTTTACATTGTTTGTAAAATATTTGATTAGCTTTATCTTTTTATTTTTGTTTTTGAAGTTATTAGCAAGTTAAAAACTTACTTATTACTTCATCTTGGTAAAAGTAAACTCAAAGTTATCATGGGTATTAGTCAGTTGCTTTATTTTAGAGTAATATAGCTGTCAGGTAAAAGTCAGACTGGGTACATTTTATTTTCAGGTTCACATTCGTATTGCTTCCCCACCACTTCATTATCCATGTTACATGGGAATAAACATTCCAACAAGAGAAGAACTAATAGCTAATGAGTTAAATGCTGATCAACTAGCTAAAAAACTTGGTGCCAACAGTCTAGTTTACCTGTCTGTGGGTGGACTTCTCTCAGCGGTACAGCGAGGAATATCAAACAATGGAAAACCTTCTGGCCACTGTACAGCCTGCCTTACAGGAAAATACCCTGTGGAATTGGAATGGTGAATAAAACAGTTGTTATATGTACTGAAAGATATTACTTCCTCTAATCTGTTAGTTTCTCTCTCTCCTGTTGTATGGCATTGATACAATAGCAGAAAAAAATATAACACAAGTTTTGCATAATCAGAAGAGTATTTTAAGTTATACTAACATAAATATTATTTAATGCGTACTTAAATTAATTTCTGATCATTGTTTGGATGAGCAGCTGATTGTGAGTTTTGAAGCCAAATTATCAAATGTCAAAAAATATACCTAATGCTAGCAGATTTTTATGCACAAGAGTTTTTTATTAACATGTATGTGCATTTTTAAAACTAAATACATTAATACTTTAAGAAAAATAGTGTGTTGTTCTATAATTATACACTATAGTATTTAATCTGAAATATCAATTTGTTTAATGCTCAAAACTTTCAGTTTACTATATAATTTTATGATGAATGGACGGCCTACTAGAATAAAGTGTATATCTAAAAATATGATTCTCTTTCTCTTTATTATACTTGTTTTGAATGCTAAAGATTTTGTAATGAAAATTGGTTAAATTTCTCAAGTGACTGATGGCTGGTTTGTATGCTTTAGTGTAATATGGCTTTCATGCAGTGTGTGTATATATTATTACTTTTTTGTTTTTAAGTAACGTAACACTTCAAAATTTGTTTCAATTTTGAATACAATAATTTTTTCACATTTTGATTTACTAGATAAGTTACAAGAAGTTAAAAATGTTAACTGTATGTTCACCTTTAATTTGAGGAGAAACCCCACTAATTATGTGTTGGTTGGATATTTTGAGGTAATAGTTTTTAATGTCAACAAAATGTGAAATTTTTGGCGATGTGGAAACCTTTCTTTATAAGCTAATGTAACTGTTGCCTTCTCTGGTAAAGTTGTTGATGTTTTTGGGCTGAACTGCTATTCAATGTTGATATTTTGTGCCGTAAAATTCCATAATGAACATTTACTCTTCTCCATTACATTTTTTTTTCGATTGTTATCCTACAATCAGGAGCATGATGATAGTTGACAGAAAAAATAAATTCATTTACTTGTTACTTGCAATAATAAGATAATTCTCACAATTCTTTATATTTTCATAGTAAAATTAATATTTTTATGGAATTTGACTTTCTCATAAATACTTTTTGATAGTCTTGAAAGAATGAATTTTCTTATTTTATCATGAATTTAAAGCATCTTTTTCATTATTAAAACAATTACTTTTTGTATGTTAACATGTCTCTATTCTATGTTATTTTGGACTTATCATTATAGCCATTGTGCCTGAATAGGTTTTGCAAGCAAAGAAAAACTTCAATGTTTTTGTAAAATCTGTTAGACTTTTAGTAAATAAAACACTTTTACTTTAGTAACATAGAGTTTAGTATAATAACTGTTTTGTGTTATAGTTTTTAGAATAATAAACATTTCTAAAAGAAGTTGTTGTTTTGTTTTATAATAATTTTATAGTCTGAAAATGTAGAAATGGTACTGTGAATTTTGTGTAAAATAAACCCATAAGGTGCTTAAAGGGTCATAATTTGATGTTTTCTAGTGTGGTATGGACATCAAAGGAAATACAAATATATTAGTGAACAAATAAAATCTTTATTCACCAATCTGTCTATGTTTAACACAAACTGGCTGGTGTTGTTTCGCAAAGTGACTTGAACTTACTGTTGGGGTAGGAGCAGCTTTCCAAAAATGTTTGCACAGGACAAAAACAATACAAAGACTAATGTTAAGTCACACTTTCAAGGTAGACCAAGAGATCATATTGTAGTATTTCCATAGTCCTTAGGTTTATGTATTATATCAACAACTGGTCAAAATATATAGGAAAGAGAGAGCTCCATACTCTTACCAACCCTTGAGATATATTTTCCCAACACAGAGTGAAACTGATATAAACTTCTGTGGGATAGCTGTTGCCATATGTAGCTTTTACCTAATTACCAAAGAAAAAACATTAGAACATACTTCAAATTTTTTACGTCCAGCTAATGAGGATGTTTATTAATTAAGTGCAGAACATCTAAATAACAAAATTAGGAAAATTACCAGAATATACCTTATTAAAGATATATTTTAAAATATTTGTAGAAGGGTAAAATTAACACATATCTCAACTGTCTCATTGGTTAATGTACAAAGTAAAACATAACTGTAAAATATATAAATGCTATATTTATCAATATACCCTCCAAAAAACCTAATGGTAGAGGAGGAATACAAAATTCTACTTTTGACTATTTTTTGTTAATCACATACAGACATACATGACAAAGATTGCCTAAAGAATAAACATAGAATTGTCTCTATCTTGTGAAAACTCTAAGATGCCTTAGGCTTGGTTTGATATCACAAATCCATCCATGAAAGTAGAAATAAACTCTCCACTTGTTGATTTAAAAAAAAAAAAGAAAAGGCATAAAACTAATCACAATTAACTATTTTTTATGTTCTATTAATAAGTTGTACATGTTTTTAATTGTGGAAGAATTTTTCAAAAATGTTTATTACTTTGAAATAATCTACAGATTAAAAGATTTTAAGCTTTCTAGACAATATTTCATTTATGAAAAAAAGTTGTTGAAGCAAATAATGTTTTTTTGGACAGTGTTCATGGGACAAGAAGAGAAATAAATATAACAAAATAGTTATCTGCTATAAAGATCTTTTTGGAAAGAATACAAGCTATAAAAAAAATTCCTTTGATCAAGTACTTCAGAAAGAAAAAAAAATACCTGCAATTGAATAAACTTAGTTATGGTTCCAAGCAAAACAATAAAGAAATGGGAATACGTGTATGTGCATTGTTAACTGAAATGGAATTTTACACACACTTCAGATTTATCTTATTTTACATTGTTGCGTCAGCCAGTCACGTGACTACTATGACGCAACGTTTC